CTGCTTCACTGTTGAGTCTCCAGTCCAGTCTGTTGTCCAGATGAACACCAAGTTATTTATATTCCTCAACCACCTCAATCACCTTTGATCCAGGCGATTGTTGAGGCCTCCACCTGAGTCTTCTGGAGTTTCAGACAAAGCAACTCAGGCTGAATTGTGTTAAAAGCACTGGAGAAATCAAAGAACACGATCCTCACAGTGCTGCCTGCTCTGTCCAGATGACAGTGGGTTTGTTGAAGCAGGTGTATGATGGCGTCGTCAACTCCAACTCCACGACGATAAGCAAACTGCAGGGGGTCCTGATGTGTGCTTGTTTGCTTACTCAGATGGGTCAACAGGAGTCCCTCTAGGACCTTCAGAGAATGTTGTAGGTTCACAACCGAGGGAAGGTCCAGGGAGGGTAATGTCCATCCGTCCGTTTTCTTCCTCTTATCCAGGGTCAGGTCTCAGGGGCAGCAGCCTAAGAGAGACCCAGACTTCCCTCTCTCCAGCCACTTGGTCCAGCTCCTCCGGAGGAATCCCAAGGCGTTCCCAGCTGAGAAACGTAGTCCCTCCAGCGTGTCCTGGGTCTTCCTCTGGGCCTCCTCCCAGTGGGACGTGCCCTGAACACCTCACCAGGGAGGTGTCCAGGAGGCATGTAGCCTGGTAAAAACCAGACCCTGTCCTTCACTTTGCTTCGTACAAGGGTCTGGACTCGCTGCATAGAGAAGCGATTCTTGCAGGAGGCGTGGCCTCTGCTGAAGTGTCGCTGTGAAGGAGGCTAAGCTAAGAAGCTAACCTGACATCGTGTGCGCTGTAAACAACCCTACTGAGAGAAGAAAAGTACCGAGCTGAACGAGATGACTGTAAATGAAAGCTGCTGCTTTGTCAGACAAATTTAATTTAATTTAATTTGGAAGCCTTATCAACACAGACTGACTTCATTCACTTCCTCCACTGCCGTATGCTAAACTAACTAACAGACACTGCGCAGAAAATCGACGTTCTGTTCTCTGATTGGCCCGGCTAAAAATCTGCCAGCGAAATCCTTCTCAATAGGAGAAGTCCCAGACGGAGTGAAGGGAAACTAGAATTGATCGGAGCTGCGTAGGAAGGAAAGGGCCAGGCTAGGAGGCATCATCTTAACCAGATGAACCACACCTCAACTGGCTCCTCTCAACGTGGAGGAGCAGCGACTCTACGACTTCAACTTTGTACAAAAAAATACAAAAATATTGTCAATGTCAAATTTATTTATAAAGCATATTAAAAACAACAAAAGTGCTTTACAGTTCAGTCAAAACTTGTAACAAAAACAAAACAAATAATAAAAATAATTTAATTTATATTCATTCATTTGTATTTTCTGCAAAAAATGCTGCATGAATGCGTAATGCTGTAAGATTTTTGCTCAATAGCTAAAAACGTTTGAACTAGCCTAAATATAGCAAAACTAGCTGAAATAGCCGAAATTAGCAGCTAATATGTCTAAAATAGCAAAAATACACTTAAAGAGGCAAAAAATGTTTAAATTAGCAGAAGAATAAGAGAAAAAGGTCTGAATGGTAGCTAAGAAATCAGAAAAAAGCTATGATGAAATAAAAGCTGAAGGAAGCCAAAATTAGCACAAAGAAGTTTAAAACAGAAGCAGAACAAAAGGGGAAAAGTGCAGTAAAGATTTATAAACATTTTAGAGGGTTTTATGTTGAAGATAGCTCCACTCATTTTCAAAAAGACAAACATAAAGACATGAACGTTTTGATATACAGCGGGTAAAATAAGTATTGAACACGTCAACATTTTTCTCAGTAAATATATTACTAGAGGTGCTAATGACATGAAATTTTCACCAGATGTCGGTAACAACCCAAGTGATCCATACATACAAAGAAATCAAACCATAAATGACCAGAAATGAAGTTATTTGTAATAATGTGGAATGGCACAGGGAAAAAGTATTGAACACACTTACTGAAATTTATCTAATACTTTGTACAAAAGCCTTTGTTGTCAATGACAGCTTCAAGACGCCTCCTGTATGGAGAAACTTCTTCATCATCCTGGTAGATGGAAGCAGATTTTTATCAAGAATGTCTCTGTACATTTTTCCACTCATCCTTCCTT